CCCGAGCCTTCCGATTGGCATTTCTCTGCACAACCTTCGTCGAGGCGGCACGTTTTTCCGCGTCATCGAGTCCAAGGAGAGGCGCTTCAACCTCCGCGAGTTGATGGCTTGGTGCCGTTGGGCGGATGCTAAGACATGCTGTGAGTACCTCATCACTCAAAGTATCAGCAACGAGGTCGACCCAAGGAATCTGCTTCGTACCGGAAGCGATGCCAACAACATACAACGTCAGACTGGCAGTGTTGCAGTGCCGGTCGGTTTGGGGTTCTCTGTTGACGAGCTTGGCCAAGCGCTGGCCAAGAACTTGCAAGGCCAAGGTGCACTCGGCAGCCTTGGGACAACGACGACTATGCGACAGAGCTCGTTGGATCAGTTTGTGGCTCAGAAGTCAGTACCTACGGCGCGGTCGGCACTGAAGGCATGGCAGCAATGGTTCGTCGCAGACCCCGCCATTGGCCTTGTGTGTGCTCTCAAGGACTACACAAAGGAAATGATTCGCATGGACAGGAAGAAGTACTCTGAACGTCTCACACTGGGAACGGCGTTTAGCAAGTACCAAACTTACCAACAGTTCGAAGCCTCATATCAAGGGTTCACAAGTTCCTACGCAAAGGCACTTAATGAGGTTAGACGTAGGAAGCGGTTGAATATTATGTAAATAGACTTTGAATTTGAAGTCATACATTTAGAATTGTGGCTTTGGCGGGAATTGAACTCGAGGCCAATTGCAATGACGGTACCATTATTTTGTGAGGGTTCATGCCCAATAGGGAAACCTGGCGGAACAATGTAAGTAGAGGGGGTATCCCCTCTACTTCTTGGATCACAATCCAAATTTCCATTTCACTTTATCGTATCAGGCAATCAGATTATTGTCGGACGGATTTGTCGTATCTGCCATATTATCCATACATAAAATACACACCCGACAAGTACCCGACAATTTCAGGAGAACCATTGGCTGCCCGACACAAGAATCGTGACTTGATTCGTCAACGGCTTTTGACGCCTAATCATTGGACGAGGATCTTGTCGTGGGAGCAACATTGAATTAACATTTGACATGTACGCGATGGTATTGGGCAGTTAAATAT